ATTTAAAGAACGGATAGATACGGTGCTTGAAGACATGCTATAGATGGACTTGGCAGTGATAGGTTGACGGTTGGACTCGATGATCTTAAGGGTCTTTTCCAACCTTGACGATTCTATGGTTCCCTAAACCCTGGATACAGCTGTGGTCCCTCCAAAGCCATTCAGTTAGGCTATTCGCAAAGCTCCTATGTCAGGTCACCCAGAACATACACCCACACTCTTCTGTGCACCCGAGTTAGACTTTGAAGCCCTTTAGTCAGAGACTGTCTTTTTATGCATCATTACTGCAAGCTATGACCAACACTTAAATGGCTGATTTTATATGGAAGTCACTGGAAGGTTTCTTTTCTGTAATAACTTGACCTAAGAGCACAAGTAGAAAAGACCATCTTCCCTCCTCCCCTCTCCCCCAGCTTAAATCCATTTCACTTTACATTAGTATTGTACTAACCAGTACAACCCAACAAAGTACAGCGGCAGAACGGTGCTGACGCCCAACTGCCTGGTAATTCTTGGTTCTGGAGGAGAGATATTCCTCTTGGTCAGTTCTTCCACTAGTAGGCCCATAGGATTTACAACTTTCCAGATCTCAAACAGGTCTTTTCCAATCAGTTGGGGAATAAAAAAATCCTGAAGAAGAATATTTAGAAATTATGATTAATGGGAAAGGTAATGAAGGCTCTAGCTTCTGGTGTCTCCTAATAAAAATACAATATGAGGCAGCATTAATACAGTTGACAATAAATTGCTGAAATGAGTGACGGAACCGCCTCAGTGCTCCACCACAGCTAAGCACAGCTAACCAGTGTTGCTACGCTCGGCAGCTCTGGCTCCGATTTAGCCCCTGACAGGATGCGTGCCTCAGGCAAAGTCAGCCGCCCAGACCTAAAGAAGGAACAGCACCAGCCCGAGGGAGGAGTTGTAACAACGCTGATGCACGGCTCTCAGTACGAGGTAAGCAGCTCAGCACTGCTTCCAAGCAAGAAGCTGTACACCAGCAGAGTCCTGCAAACGGGCTGAAGGGAACGTGTGAACCCACGGGACTTTCCACCTGCGCGGATCACTCTCTTGCCTGTTAACCGCTACTTGCTCTTACAGAGACCTCTCAATAGTCTTATATCAGAAATAAGATTTTAACAAACAATTCTCCGTTGCAAAACTAGAAATAAGCAAAAAGGACGACTGAAAGGACAGTAGCTGCTAAAACTACTTTGTTAGACTGCATTTTAATTGAACATTTTCATATGAAATATCTTTAGGTGCTTGCACTCCTACATGCAAAACCTATGAACTCAGCCCCTTCTTTATATAAAAGTTTTTTTAAAATTGAACATATATGTGACTTTACATGGAATAATTTCATTATTTGACAGTACAGTGCATGGAATATAACACTTTCCCTTAGCAAGTGTCAGCAAATACTAAAATATCACCCTTATAAACCAGAAGTATATGATTTTATGTACTTGACCAGCCTGGGCTTCTTAAAGAAAAACAAAACAAAACACAAAAAAAACCCAAAAACCCACAAGCCCAAACCCCTGCCCTGACCACCACCCATCAGATCTCATGGTTAAATTATCTTGTTACACATATTGTCAAACTTCTGCCAATCTCCCTGGATCTCTGACCATCATGGTACAAGCCAATATTTAATTTTTTTTTACTTTTTTCCCCTGTAACTTCTGAGACCCTTAGATGTTATTGTTGTCAGTACAAAAATATACGACAAGCAGTGACTTACCCTGACAAAGATCCCTGTTTTCTCAGGCCCGCTGCTATCGAGCAAGGCTCCTATTACAGCAAAGAACGTCCTCTGTAGCACATTTGGTGGGACAGGAAACTCTTTGCAAAGCGTCAGGTCCTGTACAGACAGGTTTTGAGCCACATAAGAAACAAGTTCCTGACTGGTAAGAAAATCAACAAGTGCTCCTATCCCCTCTGCCGGTAAATCTGGGTAGGCACCTTCAAAGCACTGCGTCAGGTAAGAACGCGAAAAAGACATCCCTTGTTCAGCAAGTTTACTGTTATCTTGTAGATTAAGAGCAACCGTTTCTTTGTCTAGCCCAAGCTCTCGGCGTCTTGCCTCTTCACTTTCAATATAACAAGAATTAATAAATGCAGTCTTGAGAAGATCCAAAGAAAAATTTTCATGTAGCCGGTGGCTAAAAGCTTGTATCTCTGCGTGGTAATCCCAGTTGGGCTTCTCTGATCTACAGACATGGAAAACAAATTCAGAACCAGAGCAGTAAGTTACCCGCACTGCAAGCACCACGCCTTTCTGGGGATCGAAAGGAAATGAAAAACTGGGCTGTTTTTGAAGACCAGAAGCAGCGTTTAAAACCCCCCGTGTCAAACGCTGCCGGTTCGAGCATCGCCGTTTGCCCGCCACCGGCCGGGCCCCTGCCACGTCCCAAACCGGGGCTAAAACCAGTCCGCTCCAAAGGTGACGAGAAGGTGCTTACACGTTCTGATTTTACCTATTTCCCAGCCTGTTGCACTCCCTCCCCCCGAGCCCCGCCGACA